CCCAGCCGCTCGCTCTGCTTTGCCGGGGGAGGGGGAAATCCCGGACATTGTGAGTGCTTTACAAATTCCCCCCGGACGCTATTTTTAGCACACAAAAGGAGGACATGTCCGGGTAAATCCGGACGAATGGTAACCCTATATTACCAAAAGTGACACACCAGTTCTTGTGCAATAGAAGACTGACCATAAAACACCAAGTTTAAAAAAAAATGTATTCACTGGCTGGCTCAGGGACAAACCAATACCTGTTTCACAGTTGAGGCCAGATTCTGATCCCTGCTCCAAGCTAGAAGACTGATGGCATCAGTCCTTTTTCCGCTTTACCTGGTGTGAGTCTATGAAACTAGCATTCTTCTATACCAAAATATGCCAGCTAATTTGAGGAGCAGTATTGATGACTCAGAAGGAAATCCCTTCCAGTCCTCAGATGAAGAGTAGTCCATATGTGGTAGCAGGTGAGTTAGAATATAGGAGGAAACTGGCAGGGATCCCAGGGACTTGTTTTGGAAGAATGGGGAAGCCCACTCAGGGAAGGCAAGTGGTATACTTTAAAACAGACTTGTCAGATTTCCATCAGCAGCAAGAGCAATAATTGTCAGTTTTCATTCGGTGTCCTGCCAGCTAATTATTTGGATTAGTCAATCAACAAGCCTATTGACAGCTGATTATAAAATAAAGAGTAGTTATGAACAAAGACTCTTCAGTCTCTCCATTAACTGATTTACAAAGTTGATTTTGATCAATAAAACAGTAAATTCTGTTACAATATAAGAACAGCGAGCTGCTCGTACCAAGCCACTGCCCAACACAAGACTCAAATAAAAATGAATGGCATGAAACAAATCTTGATCTTTAAATAGCAGCGAGAGAATAGGTTTTCTCCTTTCTGCCACCCCAGCTCTGGGCTCCCTCATTCCTCCCCACCATTGCCCCACCCCCACACACACCTCCTGCCACCCCAGCCCTGGGCTCTCTCCGCCCCCACCCTTCCCCCCGCACCTGCACCCTCCTTCCGCTGCAGCCCT